TATTTTAATCAAATCTACAAACTTGTTTGAAGAAACAAATTAGCCAGCGATCAACTGATTCACAATTACAATATCCGGCATCTGTCAAATCATATCAGATGTATTGAGCGAGGTACAAAGAACGGACCCCAGGACTAGAATTGAGAACCAGTGGATTAAATTAGGGTTGAGAGAGGAGAGTCACTTTTCTGCAGAGTTTAGTTCCACTAATTAAATGCACCTGAACAGACTAACCAAGGTCTCTGGGTTTACTTGAAATTAGCCGCCAGTTATTTTGCAGCACAGTTGGAACTGAACTCCACAGGAAGGAATAGGAATGAGTAAAGGCCTGTTCACACCAAGGACGATAATTCTAAAGATAACGATAAAGATATGGTTTAAAAAATATATTTTTTAAAAAGTATATAGTTCACAGCACAGCTATAACGATAAAGACACAGAGAAGCAATATAATTGAAATCACTTTCAGAACGATTTTTTCCAGCTGATGAATGATAAAAACATTGCACCCATTCAGAATCAATCCTGCTATAACTAGCTCGAGAATTTAAAGCGGCAGATAAGCATGCGCTTAGAATAAACAGACAATATCGTCCATGTGGATACTAATAAAGTTATCATTCTTGGTGTGAACGGGCCTTAACCCTGAATTAAATCATTATGACAACTTTTTTTTGCAGTTTGTAAGGCCACCAATGACAAGGTATAAGTTAAAGAGGGCAGAACAAAATTTATTTTTCTTAAATTTCCTTTGTCCAACGCTTCTTTAAATGCTTCCACTTGGCCTTGGAAAGACAACAGTCAACCCCTGCACTGTATGACTCATGATACTATTACTCAGAGCTAAACACCACAGCAGTAAATTTAATAATGGCCAATTAGACAGGTGCTTCCAAATACTACAAAAAGAAAAGAAAATTGAGTGAATTAAAAATGAATGGGCCTTTTTGGAGTTTATAGGCTCTCTTTGGTGTTCAGATTGTTAAAGGGGTCATATGATGCTGATAAAAAGAACATTATTTTGTGTATTTGGTGTAATGAAATGTATTTATGCGGTTTAAGGTTCAAAAAAGCACATTATTTTCCACATACTGTACATTATTTCTCCTCTATGCTCTGCCTTTCTGAAAGGCGTAGATTTTTACAAAGCTCATCGGTTGATTGGCCAGCTATCCAGTGCGTTGTGATTGGCCGAATTCCTCAAGCGTGTGACGGAAATGTTACATCCCTTACCATATTGTGATGCCTGCAGAAACCACATGTGACGACCCCAGGCTGGACTCCGCTTCGTCCACGGTGAAAGCTGATCCGGCGATCGACAGCGCGAAGTTTAAGTATTTCCTCAGCGACCAGCACAGATCAGCTCCAGGCATGATGAAGCGAGATCGTTCTCTTTTGGAAGGCCAAACAAAGTAGTTTTGCTTTCACAACGAAGCACACAGCGCCTCCACAACATGGGGCGGTGGCAACAATACTACAGTGAGAATAAAAGTTACGCCTTCTTTCTTTGCGTGAAGAGTTGCATAATACCGCCCAAATAGTGACGTAGATATATGGGGGCGTGTTAGAACGAGCTGTTTTAGGTAGGCGTGGCTGACTCTTAACTTTTATAAAGAATATCTCTTTGGATTTGAGACTTTAGTCTTTGCAACTTTACAGATCTTCTTTATGCACCAAGAGCTTGTAACACTTCAAAGAGAAAGGAAACATTTTTAAATCGGAAACATTTTTAAATCGCATCATATGACCCCTTTAACAAAAATGAATGGTTGTGTGGTTTTAGTAAATAAACGAAATCAAGGTGAAACAGTGGGTAAATCTCATGACTGAACAACCACAGTCATCTGGTTCAGTTACCATTAAAAGTTAGAGCTTGGCGAGAAATCAAAGTGAAAGATAGACAAAAGAGGGGGATGTGGTTATATACTGACAGTTGATATGGTAACACAACATTTAAAGCAGACGGCAAACTTTCTTTTTTAATATTCAGACTTAATGAAAGAAGAGTTATATTTCTATCCTACAAGCAACCTTTGGAGTGCTTTTTTATATATTGCACAAATTAATTAGTTTAATCTGCTTTTAATCACATTAAATGTAAGTAATACTAAAATTAATAAAACATTTAATGACACTGCCATACAAACTAAATTGCAGCTTTAAAAATTTGTGTCAGGTTATGAGAAGTACAACGTCTCCATGCTCTGCTTTCTAAACAGATGCTTGATGATGTCACATTGATTAGTTCATTAATATGTGCACAGTCTCTTATTTCCAGAGAGGTTAATTTTAATATTGCAAAGCCTCTCAGAAAATGAGAACAGAAAAGGTTAATTAAAGTGACACTGTGGGAATGAACTCATGGAAGGCCAAACAAAGTAGTTTTGCTTTCACAACGAAGCACACAGCGCCTCCACAACATGGGGCGGTGGCAACAATACTACAGTGAGAATAAAAGTTACGCCTTCTTTCTTTGCGTGAAGAGTTGCATAATACCGCCCAAATAGTGACGTAGATATATGGGGGCGTGTTAGAACGAGCTGTTTTAGGTAGGCGTGGCTGACTCTTAACTTTTATAAAGAATATCTCTTTGGATTTGAGACTTTAGTCTTTGCAACTTTACAGATCTTCTTTATGCACCAAGAGCTTGTAACACTTCAAAGAGAAAGGAAACATTTTTAAATCGGAAACATTTTTAAATCGCATCATATGACCCCTTTAACAAAAATGAATGGTTGTGTGGTTTTAGTAAATAAACGAAATCAAGGTGAAACAGTGGGTAAATCTCATGACTGAACAACCACAGTCATCTGGTTCAGTTACCATTAAAAGTTAGAGCTTGGCGAGAAATCAAAGTGAAAGATAGACAAAAGAGGGGGATGTGGTTATATACTGACAGTTGATATGGTAACACAACATTTAAAGCAGACGGCAAACTTTCTTTTTTAATATTCAGACTTAATGAAAGAAGAGTTATATTTCTATCCTACAAGCAACCTTTGGAGTGCTTTTTTATATATTGCACAAATTAATTAGTTTAATCTGCTTTTAATCACATTAAATGTAAGTAATACTAAAATTAATAAAACATTTAATGACACTGCCATACAAACTAAATTGCAGCTTTAAAAATTTGTGTCAGGTTATGAGAAGTACAACGTCTCCATGCTCTGCTTTCTAAACAGATGCTTGATGATGTCACATTGATTAGTTCATTAATATGTGCACAGTCTCTTATTTCCAGAGAGGTTAATTTTAATATTGCAAAGCCTCTCAGAAAATGAGAACAGAAAAGGTTAATTAAAGTGACACTGTGGGAATGAACTCAGAAATGAAGTCGTACCTCAGCTCAACTACAACAGATTGCATTTGCTCAAACTCGAATGAAGGTTAGTTATTGTGTCTTCACTTCTTTCTTTAGCCCATTGTCTTGTATAGTCACACCTTTAGCTAAACGACAAAAAGGTCTAGTCCACATTGGTCAAAAACTGATGCCTATTGTAGCTCTATGCACCCTACACTAATAAAAATGATTCTGTGATGAAGTAAATACTACGAAAAAACAAAGGTAATTTCTACATTAAATCATTTAGTTCAGACAAGAATTAAAAAAAATAGTAAATTCTATACAAGTACTCAATTAAAGCTTATAGAAATTAAAGTTTGAACTTAAGTATTTTACTTGGAATTGTTTGTTATGTTTACAATGATTCTTTGAGTATCAAAGTAATGCTACTAGTGTTCCTATCATGCAGTGGGGCATGAATAATTAATAAGGTTGAATTTTTCACTGTTTTTGAGTTGCATTTATGGCTGCTTTTGTTGTTAGATTTAGTAACTTGCTTTTTTTTTACATCTGGGGTTCATAAATGAGCTATTCATAGTCAAAAGCTATCCACTGGTTGTTACTGTCATTGTGTATTGTCATAGTGTACCAAGTATTTAGGGTCTCTGTGTTCATTTATGTATTAACTTTATTGTATAGACATCATCTTAGAAAGTGTAACAAGCTGTCTACTACTGCCATGTTTACTTAGATGTTACTAAGTGAACCATAAGCTTTAATAGCATGGCTTTTTTCAGTGCTACATTGCTAGAGTAAAGTTTACAAACAATGATTGAGTAAAATGTACTTGAAAATTGCAGAGTACACTTCAAATGATTAAGCAGAAATTACTCCACAAACTCTAACTGGCCAAGTTAAATTTACTTATTCTGTTTGTTAATTTTTCATAACTTAGTTAAGTAGATTTGACTTACTTGTATACTTAAATTTACTTAAAAAAAATGTGTGCAAAAACTTGCAAAAGAAATATTAAGTAAATAATTTTTGTTTTTTGTTCAGTGTAATAGCAATTCACTTCAATGTTGCGATGTTGGTTTCTAGAAGGCGACTCTGCCGCAGAAACTTTATTAGTTTGCAGACTGCTGTGAGAGTGAAACAGCTGCTTTATCTGAAATAGATTAAAGGAATAGTTCACCCAAAAATGGAATTTTGATGAAAATTTACTCACCCTCGGTCCATCCAAGATGCAGATGAGTTTGTTTTTTCATCTGAACAAATTTGGAGAAATCATCACTTGCTCACCAAAAATAAATAAATAATCACAATTATCCACAAGTAATCCATACGACTCCAGTCCATCAACTCATGTATTGTGAAGTAAAAAACTGTGTTTGTAAGAAGCAAAACCATCATTAAGGCATTTTAACATCAATCCTACACTTCTGGCAAAAATATGGGTAAATAATCCTTAATAATGATTTCTCCCAAGAAAAAGTCTATCCCGTTGTACTCTCAAAATCCACGAACATGTTTTGGACTGTTTACGCTTGTAAACAGTGCTTGATCTGTGCATATTTCTCTCCTGATTAAGACTATATTACTTTTTTACTTTAAAAAGCAATATTGTGAATAGAAGGCTCATATTTTACTGGGAGCAATGGCTTGAAGTTTAAAACAGCTTGATGAATTTCAAACACACATTTTTTCACTTTACAAGATGTTAATTAATGGACTGCAGTCATGTGGATTGCTTGTGGATTATTCTGATTTATGAGCCGTTTGGACTCTCAGTCTGATGGCACCCATTCACTTTGGGTTAACTATTCCTTTAACCACACTAACAGAGCAATGTGAACATTTTATTTAAACAGTGGTATGAAAAATAGTAAAAAATGTGTGATCAGAATTTCTCATCCAAAAGTACTGATTATCTTACTGAGATATTTCAGAAAAAAATATACAGCTGTACACTTCTGCATGTGGATATTTATAAAATTTGCTCCTAAAGCCCCATTCACACAACAAGCGACAAAGCGACACGATCCCATTCATTTCAATGGAGAGCTGACGATTTCCGGCGGCAATTACGACAGCGGCCATTGGCGACGGATGGGGCGTGTCCAGCGACGTGACAAAGTTCAGAATCCTTCAACTTTATGCAAATGAAGAGCGACTTTCAGGAAAGAAAGAAGGAAAGAAGACGGCAGGAATCATGTGATCGTTCTCCTTTCAAACGTAGATAAACATACGTAATGGAAAAAAGTAGGCTCTGTTTCTCATTCATTTTTGTTTGTATGTACAGATTTAATTCATATATTATATTTAGTTTTTTCTTAGTATGAGGTCATCAAGTGTTCTGGTGTTCTCAGAAGTGCATCAGCTTTGATAAAGCCTTACTGTGTAATTTTCAATTGCTGTCAGACATTTATGTTATGGACGTTAATGTCAAGGACTGCACACAACAGTCTATTATTGAGAAGTTAAAATATCCCTCTGTTTTTATGCTTTCAGGTCCCGTCAGCCTGAAGAGGGAATACAGGGGTTACGACAGAGATTAAATTCCAAGAAGACAGTGATGAATGACTCAGTTTTATCACAGGCCACATGTGTAGGTAGACATGCTAACGCCCAGGCATCAATACAAGCGTGTGTGCAAGCATCAAAAATATATTCTAGACTTCCTCTATCTCTATTTCGCCAGCTCTCCTTAAATGAGTAAAGCTCAATTAGTGGTTCAGTTTGCAGTCCTGAAACCAGAAGAGATGAGTAGGGCTGGGTAGCGAACTCTGTACTTTTAAGGGTACTGACTGAATTGCGTCGGTACTACAGATTACCGATTCACGTTAAATCAATCGGTGCCAAATTTCGGTACCTGAGAATGCATCTGGGCGCATATGCTACAGAGAGAGAAAGAGAAACCCTGTGACGTGAGGTCACCCCTGCAATTCGTTCAAACAACACACAGGGCAAGCTGAAATGTTGTGAAGTGTGGTTACATTTCTAGGGCCATATGGTTTCTGCGAAAACGCGGACGGGATCGCAGAGTCCATTCATAAAATCGTAATTTACTCTATAGCGCGGAATGCCACGGAATTCGTCAATTTTGGACGAATAAATCAAAAGTAGCCACTAGGGCTGCACGATATATTGAAATTATTGAAATATCGCAAATGTAAATATCGCAATATGCATATCGCAACGGCGTGCGATATCATAATTTTAATAATAGGCTACTTAAATCAAAACGTTGCAAAAAGGTCAAAGTTTTAGTTCGACGCATATAGCAGAGAATTGCTTGACGTTAAAAAGAGTTAAGTGCAATAAATTGCAGAAAACAACATTTTGCCATCTCGTCTTGCTGTCTGACTCACACCTGAAGTGTTAGCACAAGCCGCATCTCACACAGCGTCTCTTCAGTTCTACCGCACACGTGTAGTGTCTGTGAATATTAGAATGCAAAAAGATGGTTTAAATATGAATCCTGCATGTTCCGCTTGCCTCTGTATGTATGAATGGCGGAAACGCGGTTTTGTTTACTATATAAATACTGAAGCACGCGTGACACTCGCGGTGATTTTCGGCCTCTGCGTCTCACTATATGACGGCATGAACACAAAAATGTAATCTCCAGAGCTGCTGTGAGAGTCACTTCGCGAGAATTTTACCATTTAATTTGAGAAAACTAGCATCATCATACTGTATACACACAGTAGCTTCATGGCAACCTGTCAAAATAAAAGTACGGTTTAGATTTGATTCGATTTTTATTGTCCCGAAGGAAATTTGTCTTGGACACATACAATCCAGTGATTGCTGCTTAAATAAGTAACATAATACAATACATACACACACACAATACCTACAACACATCACAAACTGCCATCAACCAACCAGTTGCACACTACCCATCATACAACACACCTGTAATCATCATAATAATAAGATTAAATTATTAATTGAGGCTCTCAATTACAGCATGATAGAAGAAAAGCAACACTCTCTGGTTAACACCAAAGACCCTCAGCCTACGTAGAAAGTGTAGTCGCTGTTGAACCTTAGTACAGATGTTTTCTACCTGAACACTCCATGTCAGTTTATCAATGTGTGTGCCCAGATATCTGTAGGAATCAACCTGGGCTATGTTCTGGTCATTGATGGCCACTGGTAAGTGGTCTCCAATGGATTTGGGATCAAACACCATCTCCACTGTTTTCTTAGTGTTGATGATGAGAGCATGCTTGTCGCACCACTGAACAAAGTTCTGAACCTCATGTTTATGTGCAACGGAATCTGATGTATCTAATATGAGACCCAGGATAGCTGTATCATCAGAGAACTTAATCATGTAATTGTTAGCAGTACTACATGTGCATTCATTAGTGTACAGTGTGAACAGTACTGGGGAACTAGTGTTGATGGTCAAAGGTTTAGACAACGTCCAATTCACCCTGACCTGCTGACTACGATTAGTCAGAATGAGTGGAACCACTTAATAATAAAGGGGTTGACATTCATCCGCTGCAGTGTTTTCAAGAGAACATGAGGCTGCAGAGTGTTAAAGGCTGAAGTAAAATCTACAAACAACAGTCTGGCATAGGCCTTAGGATTCTCAAGATGTTTAGTCACTAGGTGCACTATACTGTTGTTTGCATCATCAGTGCCAAACATGTAAAAGAAATATATTACTCTTGTATTACTTTTGATATTACTTTTAAGATATATTACTATATCTTAAAATATTAAATTTTCTATCAAATTTAAATAAAACAATTAAATGATAAATATAAATATTACAACCAGATTAATCACTTAATTGTAGAAAAAAATAATACAATTATTAGCCTATTAAAAATGCTTTAAAGGAATAGTTTTTCTTCCTTAAATTTTCATTTGATTTAAAATAAATGTTTAATGCCTTCATTTGATTTTCAGAAAAATTAAAACAAGAATTTCTGGCGAAAAAAAGAAAGAAAAAGTTTGTAGGGCCCTATTGTTCAAAATGTTGAAATTGAGACTTCTGGACTTATTTTTTCACTGAAATAAATGTTTTTGTAATTACACAGAGAGTAAAGTACCGAAAAAAGGTACCGTTGGGTACCGGCAGCGAAATTCAGGTACCGATACCGGTACCGTACCGGTTAAAATGTGAACGGTACCTAACCCTAGAGATGAGTAACAGATATACGACTAAAATAAGGTCAAATATTACTTTAAGAGTAGTGACTATTTTTCTTCTACAACATAAATTACATGTTGTAGTAGTACCCTTGAATTTTGACAATTTTGAGATAGTTAAGACATAAATTGCAAGGTATGATTTGCAGCTACATACATAAAATAGTATTTGTTAGAAAAATTTGTAATTGTGAGATATAAAGTCGCAATTACAAGAAAAAAGTCACAATTACAAGAAAGTTGCAATTATAAGATATAAAGCTGAATTTATGAGAATACGTAAGTCAAATTTATCGAACAATTGAATATTCTAAAAAAAAAAGCCTTATTTGTGAGATATAATGTCACAATTACGTGAAATAAAAACTCTATAGCGAGCTTCAATGTTAACCCACTCAATAACTGCACTGACCTGTTATTGCATAAACTGCATGTCTCCCATAGAAATGCTCTCTTAAAATGTCAATGCAATTTTAAAAAGATGAAGAAGTAGAACAAGGACAAGAACAAGAAGAAAAGAATGTAAATGGGTTGAGGCCTGTATTTGGCAGAGGGAGCAGCTGCAATATCATCACGCATTAATACTTCAAGGACCCCAAAACTAGCTACAGAAAGTTTGGTAATTATAAGTACACTGAAATAAATTATTATAAATATTGAGAACAAACTTAGACAGAGGGATCAAATGTTTGTATTTATATTGAGAACAAACTTAGACAGAGGGATCAAATGTCTGTATTTACAGGTTACGCAGAATCATTTTTTTTTGTTTCTTATAGCTAAATATTAAAGCGGTTTCACTAATTTGAGGTATTTGAACTATTTAAAGCTATACATTTTTATAACACTCACAGTAGTGGAAAAAATAATTTTTCTTTTCCAAGGAAACAATGTTTTCTTCACTTTTATTCATATGCAAGGATTAAATTTCAGTGGGAATAAAACATTTTTCGGAGAGGGGCAATGGATCTACTTTGTAATGATGCATGACAATGACAAATATTTCTCATACCGATTTTCGTTTCTTATGTGTCTCTCTTTGCAATCCTCCTCGAGAAACCCAACACAGATGAATATAGACCATCTGGATGTGCATAATCATCTGGAAGACTCCAGGAAGTTATTTAAAGGGGTCATATGATGTTGCTAAAAAGAACATTATTTTGTGTATTTGGTGCAATGAAATATGTTTATGTGGTTTAAGGTTCAAAAAACACATTATTTTCCACATACTATACATCAGGGGTGCCCAACCCTGCTCCTGGCGATCGACTGTCCTGCAAAGTTTAGCTCCAACTCTAATCAAAGACACCTGCCTTTAATTTTTAAGTGATCCTGAAGACCCTAATTAGTTGCTTCAGGTGTGTTTGATTAGGGTTGGAGCTGAATTTTGCAGGACAGTCGTACATTGTTTCTCCTCTATCCCCCGCCTTTCTGAAAAGCGTCGATTTTTACAAAGCTCATCGGTCTGAAAAGCGAGGTGTGCTCTGATTGGCCAGCTATCCAGTGCATTGTGATTGGCCGAATACCTCAAGCATGTGACGGAAATGTTACGCCCCTTACCATATTGTGATGCCTTGTCCCGGCACGACGAGACAAAAACATTAAAAGCCATTATAAACGAGGCATTTGTTGCATTCAGTGTGGACATAATTACGGACTATAATGACTTATACTGTCTTTTTACGTATTGCATTGCATCGCGCTGTGTAAACATAAAACCATGTCTGCATTTGTGATCAGAGAAATTACAAACTACAAACGCTACTCTACACGGCTCAAAACTCGCGTTTGAATCGTCAGTGGCAAATTCTTTAAATATAAAAACGCACTTACAGTCGGCGAGTCAGAACAGCCAGCATTGTAGTCTACTCTACCAGGATCAAGAAACAGTCCTCCATAAAATGCGCTGGACACATCTGAATATTTGGGTTGAACTGTTCTGGAACAGTGTTGTAAATACAACTTAACCACTGATTTCTAGTCGTGTCCTCTTTTGGAAGGCCAAACAAAGTAGTTTCACTTTCACAATGAAACAGCGTCACACACGGCGGGCTAGAGTGAGCGGAGGCCGCAGCTAGATTGAGCAGCGGCCGGCGGCCTAGAGTGAGCGGAGGCCGGCTTGAGTGAGCAGCGGCGGGCAGGCTTGCGGCAACCACATGTGGCGACCCCGGGCTGGACTCCGCTTTGTCCCCGGTGAAAGCCGATCCGGCGATCCACAGCGTGAAGTTGATGTATTTCCTCAGCGACCAGCACGGATCAGCTCCAGGCATGATGAAGCGGATATCATCCTCTTTTGGAAGCCCAAACAAAGTAGTTTCGCTTTCACAATGAAACACACAGCGCCTTCACGACATGGCGGCGGTGGCGGTGGCGGAAACAACAATACTACAGCGAGAATATAAGTTATGCCTTCTTTCTTTGCGTGAACATTTGGGCGGCATTATGCAAATCTTCCCACATCGTGACGTTGACGTGGGGGTGTGTTAGAACGAGCCATTTTAGGTAGGCGTGGTTGACTCTTAACTTTTATAAAGAATATCTCTTTGGATTTGAGACTTTAGTCTTTGCAACTTTACAGATCTTCTTTATGCACCAAGAGCTTGTAACATTCCAAAGAGAAAGGAAAAATTGAAATCGCATCATATGACCCCTTTAAAAACCACAAATGGAGTCAAAACAGGAAAATGTACCAAATGTTTGGCCAGCCTGGATTATTTCATAAATGCTTAAATTAACTTCTCAGCTACCACTCTGTGAATAACAAATCTAATTATACATTTGATCTATTGACGTTAGAGGTCGACCGATTGATCGGCCAGCCGATTTTTGCCATTTTTTAAATTAATCGGCATCGGCCGATTGTGCTGCAAATTAGGCCGATTTATAGGTAGGCGCATCTGCGGGCAGCTAAGCATTGTTGCGGAATGCCGGAGGGGAGAATCTCTCTCTGGCTGCATGAGAGACGGAGCAACTCACACTTTGCAGCCGCTTCTTGTTCACACACAGTTTCAGCTAATGATGGCAGGGCAAAACAGACCGTTTCGAAAGCGTAATTACATTTTACCCTAATAGAATTGATCCCGGAAAGTTATCATATTCATAAGTGCAACAAGTCATTTGCATGTGAAAGTAGAAACACATGCAGTTCAGACGAAACTTCTGGGCTGATTATAACGTGCACGTTAACTTTCCTCGTGAAATGTGTCTGTAGGTCCGACAATAGCATCCACGATGTCATCGCTCGTGGACAGTGCACTCTTAAGCAGTTATCAGCAGCAGGCTGTGTAATATGTGTAAACTCTTTTATTTATGTTATCACTTGGCCATTTGACTTATAGCAGTGTCCAGCGTTTCCCATACATTGAGTTATTACCTCGTTGAATAAACTGATCACTGCACGTTTCAAAATTAAAATGCAGCGCGGGTGTTTTCATATGAATGTATCTTTGAAAAGAACCGACCGTCTTCAGAAAAGCTTCGGTGTCATTTTCATTTCGTCTTTCCTGTAATGCCTGATAAAGTAACGTTAGCGTTTGTGAGTGCAGTCACAGTGCTTATTAGATTACAGCCGTTACCGGGGAAACCGCTATATCTCCGCTCCAACAGCATCTCCTGCTGGTGTAGAATGAATTAGCATTTGCAGTCTGTGGGAATCACTGGTGTCTGTCAGCAAACATAAACAAAAAGCATGCTGAGAACTGTTTTGAGAAGGTGCTTAAGTTTTGAGCCATGTATTATTACTCTGAATTAGGCTACTACTACTATTACTATCTTGTACCCTGCAATAATCATTTACTCAAACATATCGGCCAGTGAAAAACCCATTATCGGTTGACCTCTAATTGACGTCATAGTAAGAATGCTTCCTGCTATGGATTGTCATTTTGGTTCATTTCCTGGCTACCTAATGGTCTCACTGGAAAGTTAGCATCATTAAAGTTTTGACGTGAGACTCACAAGTTTTGAAAGACGTTTTAAAGACTAAAGGTCGCTATCTATCCAGATGACAAATAATGAGGGTCTTGTTCTTTTGACACGTTAAGTTTTTTAAAAACATCTTATTATCTCAGACATACAGCAAGACATTTTGTTGTTCAAATGGACATTCACAGATTAGTCAATCACAACTAGAGTCACTGCTCAATCATCTACCATTTCCACATGTGCTTTCACAAAACATTTTCACATCTGAGCATCTCAGATTTACTATGTATACAAATGTAATTTTTTTTACAAAATCATTTTTAGTTAGCAATTCATAATGACGGCTTTAAATTCAAACGACGATGCCCTTAAGGCTCCCCAATCACTTTATGACATCAACAAGATCTGCTGTACAGCAGCTTACAGCAATGCAAAGACCAGCTCTTCTTTATACATCAAAAGGGTCTGTCTGAAGTAGTTGATCATGGTTCAGTTTTAATAATCAATGTGGATTCTAATTACTCAGAGAGATGTAACGTCTTTAATGATCTCCCTTTTTTAAAGTGCAGCTTAGATGAGATGCATTTATGTCCTGAGAGATTTAACACATTAGCAGTGCACAAAAAAATAACAAATGTGGAAAAAAAGTTTCCCTCTGTTTGCACATACTATTCTCCTACTATTGCTTCTTTTCTTTGTGAGCAGATTTAATATTTATCTATTTCGAGGTCCTAATTAGGAGACGAGAAGCACATGAAGCTTTGTGTCGTGCTGCTTATTTTTATCAAGCAGTAAAACCTCCCATTCCCGTGGCCAAAACAAGCCATCTGTTGTTGAGCGTATAAAGTGAGGACTGAGGACTGAGAATTTTAGAATAATATGACAGTCATTTAAGACACTTCATTCTACAAACACGAACAACAGCTCGTTCCATGCAATATACGTCATTATGCCATTTTTGTGTAATTGCACATGCGCGGTACTTTCCAGTTTCAGTTTTCAATCAAATCAAGTGTTTACATGTCCTCTCGATCGGATTAGAAAAGGTCTACACCACCCCTTCAGTCCGATGGAGCCATCAATCCGATTACTAACGGATTATTTGGTTGCATGTAAATGTAGCCAATGTGAATTAAGCAAATCAGAACTAAATCAATGTATCATTTACTTTTTTGGTCTGGACCAAAAGAACCAAGAGAACCACACTACAAGTGTAAACACACCCTTAACAGACATTAAGATTGAAAAAAGTTATATTTCCTAAGTGAAATTACTATGATTCCAAAGATAGGATAAGATTCGGAGTTGGAATGTTTCTGTATAACCCCAGAACAACATACTAGTCTGTTTCACTTTACTCTTTTTTTCCCCAGTGTACTAAAGTAAATGGCAAAATGGGGGGGGGGTCCTCTTAGGTTGCACAATTGCATGAATAATGAATAAAATGCCTGTGCGATTTCTAAACAGAATTTTCCACAATTTATGCAGAGATTTCAATCATCAACTTTAACTTCTTGGAGCACATTTGAATAATTCATTATAAGAATATTCAGATGAAAATAAAAGTTTTGATTAAATTGTCATGACATCACCAGGGCTGGCCTTTAAAGAAACAAATGCTAAATCTACACGGGCCGAGCTTAAATTTAGAGATCTTATTCTTAATACATGTGCTCTTTAAATTAGTGCAAACCACTAAATTAAGTTGCAATGGAAACATGTGTGACCCTGGACCACAAAACCAGTCATAAGGGTCAATTTTTTTTTCACAAGATTTATACATCACATGAAAGCTGAATAAATAAGTTTTCCATTGATGTATGGTTTGTTAGGATATGACAATATTTGGCTGAGATACAACTATTTGAAAATTTGGAATCTGAGGGTGCAAAAAAAATCAAAATACTGAGAAAATTGCCTTTAAAGTTGTCCATATGAAGTTCTTAGCAATGCATATTACTAATCAAAAATTTAGTTTTAATATATTTACGGTAGGAAATTTACAAAATATCTTCATGGAACATGATCTTTACTTAATATCCTAATGATTTTTGGCATAAAAGAAAAATCGATAATTTTGACCCATACAATGTTTTTTTGGCTATTGCTACAAATATTCCCAAGCGAATTAAGACTGGGTTTGTGGTCCAGGGTCACATATAGATAATTCACGAATTGCTTCATGCTACAAGGCAATATACAAGACCACACTTTCACAATATAGAGCCTCAAGCAGCATTTACCAATAAAATGCAAAAGATTTTATATCAATAACAGGTCATGGCCAGTGAACGTACACAGGGAATGCACCTGCCAGAAACGCATTATAGCCAATGCTAAAGAAAAATTTCCAGCATTATATCTATTAATTTATTTGCATGCTTCTCACATCTACAGTTTCATATCTTTAATCATTACTTAACGGTAGACAGTAGGGCTGTGAATCTTTGGGTAGACAGCGAATCGATTCACAGGTTTTCGATTCGATTCAAGAATGATTTTTGCAAATTCAGAACGATTCCATTCGATTCGATTCACAATTAAATTCGATTCGATTCAATTAACAATTCGATTCTGCATTCTTTAAGTGCATTCACAGGATTATTTAAATGCTTCTCCTAAATTCTTTAAATGCTCAGTCATGGGGGCAAATTACACAGCAGCCTTTATGTTTACAGAACCATAGGTTAGAGAGAAAAAAACAAAACAAGACACTTTTGTCCATTGTTAGATGCTAGTTTAATGATGCTATGGCATGACATGGCATATGTAGTCAATATTTTAAAAAAGAGCTTTAAAAGTATAATGTATAGGCTAACATTTTGTCACACCAGAAGGGACAGAAATGTCAAATATAATAATTTTATGTATTATTATTATTATTTACAAGGAATTATTTTTCTTATCTCTTACTTTGAATTTGCTATAAGAAATCAAATACACTCCTGGACAATAATCAATCATTTGTAATCTATAATTTTTTCCTAATGGCAATTTTATGATTGTTTTATACAGTACTACAAACAATCAATTTCCTGCACAGAATAAGGTAGAAAATATACTTGATAGTTTCTGTACTGTAAATATGTCAATTAGCACTGTGACTGCATCATTCATACATTTTATTTATTTATTGTGTTTATTGTCTTAAGCCTGGCTCACACTACAGGATTTTTAGGCCGATTTAGCCCCGATTTCCCCCTCCCGAGAATCGGAGCAAAAATCTTGTCAAGCCCCTTGATCGCTCCCGATGTTCGGCGCGGATTATCTGATAATGTGAGGTGTTCACCGATCGAATCTTGCACCTCCCGATCTACTCGCACACAAATCGGGGCCGCCCCGATCATATCAAACATGTTTGATATTTAGGATTGAAATCGGGATGATGACGGCTATATGATTACGTCAGTACTTTCACAATAGCCAATGCGCGACCGCAAAACAGCTGCTGTACGGCTCCATTGGATAGTGGAGACAGAGGAAACTGCTTAGTGTTTACACGACGATGTTAATAATATATTAATTGCACAGTGTGTGATTCATTGGTCATAACAGAACTTTGTGAGATCACGATGAACTAAGAGTGACCGTTTTAGTGGTTAAAAAAGCAGCGATCTTTGCGAGCTTTAGGCAATAATCCATTTAAAATGTAGAACTTTGTTTTTCGACAACACTCACGTTGCAAAGTTTCGGGAATGACATCTGCATATTTATGCTGGATTCGCTCTCGAAGTAGTAGTGATTGACAGTGATAACTATAGCAATAGATGGGACAAAATATGTGAAAATGTGCATTAAGACTAGAGCACCCTCACTAATGTCAGAAGCACCGTCAGTGATTATTTCTGGTTGGTACGCTTTTTTTGTATAGCCTACAAAAACAACAAAATACAAATGCACTAAATAAAATAATTTAATAAATGCATATTTACAATTTAAGCACTTAACTAAAATAAGTATTAAATAATTAAATAACTAGAGAAGGCTGACTATAACCAGTTTGCTTCCATTTAGTAAGAAAAGCCTATAGGCTACTCTTCACCTGAATTAGAAAAAAAGCTCTTCTGGTGTTCAGTGATGCGATGACAACGTTTGAGTGTGTACACGCAATATCTGAGCGAGAGCAGAGCCAATTCATGAAATAAAAAAAACAATGTAGAGTTAAAAGCACACGTCCAGTTTTGTATGAGTGAAAGAATCCACGTGCGGAGTCTTGCGGTGAGATTCTTGCTCACGCATTACATAGATCGCGTAACATTATACACTCTCAACATTTGTCATTAAGATCACGCTATAGAAACCGCTTAAAATTAAGTACAAAGAAGAGAAGAAAGCGGCCATAGGCAGCTGCCTACACATGCCAGGATCCGCCACTGCCAGATGCAGTTAGAAATTTACTAAAAACAAGCCTATCGCAAGATATCTGGTGGGGGGGGGGGCAGACAGATTTCAGGTGGGCCGGTGCCACCACTGGCCACCACGTAGACACGCCCCTGGTCACGAGGCGATCACGTGAGGCGCTCCCTCTGGCATGATAATCTTAATAATATCTTGTAGTGTGTGATGCGCCATGATGTTCAAATCTTGTAGTGTGTGCATGTTTAAGATTTGAGAGAAGATAATCTGCAAAGATTCTCCTTATGTGTGTGCTGCACCCAGATTTCATAATCGGTTAGGATTTTAAAACTCCTGTAGTGTGAGCCCGGCTTTAACGTTTTATCAGTTCATTCTGCTTTTTAATCAGATTAGCTGCAAATATAGCCTGGCACGTTTTATGTTCTATGAGCGTGAGATCACTTCACTTTCAGTGCTCTTCTTTATCTAATTTTCATAAAATAAAATGCTATAGTATTTAACTTTTCCTCTCCATCGGCAAATGATGGAACAAACTACAGAAAAGCAAAACTACTTAACTTTAGCATTACTGGCCACGAGTACTAAGGAGAGATCATCACACATCAGCTGCTCAAAAAATGTGTCAGTGAGACGAACGGAGCGCGAGCGCAATCCTGTGACAGTCTCAGGTGGTAAATAGTGGAACGTGTGAAGGAGAGATGCGAGGGTACGAACACTGTTCAAGGTCTCCATTAATTTGTGCTTGTAGTAATTTAATGTGCACATATTTTGAAAGCATTGAATCGCTATAGAAATCGCGATTCATTCGATTCTTAGCGTTTTAAATTGATTACTGTCCGAAATCGACGCTTCACGATTAAAAAATCCATGTTTCAAGATCGATGCATTGCATCGTCAGGGTTTATAATCGATGCATCGAGAAAACGAGTGAATCGTTACACCCCTAGTAGAAAGCCTTTAAGTCAATAGCATCCTTGCGAATAGGTGTCCTTTAGTAAATTTAACAGGACTGAAAAACATCATGAAGTCAAAGAGTGCTTTTGAACCAATCAAACTCATCTGCGGCTGTCTTCTCTCCCCCACAGCGGCCAAAGCAGCAAATTCATACTCCTTATTGTCTGAATGGATCACACAATCATCCATCTGAAGATGCCCTACAGCCTGAAACCCTCTCCATCAAGGATAAATTACCACTGTGGGCAGTGTGAAAGTGGTATTTATGTGTGTGTCGATGTGTGCGTGTCTGTGTGCTTTCAATGCATGACATGGAAATCAGGAAAGAGGTGCTGAAAACTTCACAAACCTTTTCGGTCCCATTTAACTCTGAATTTAGGAATGTGTACAAGATAAAATTATATTTTAAAAAAGGGAGTTCACTCTTAGAAAAAAATATATAAAGCTGTCACTGGGGCAGTACAAAAGCAAAAAGGTACATCTTTCCCCCTAATTGGTACTAACATGTACCTTTAAGGTACTAATTTGAACTTTAAAAGGACATTATACTATAAACATGCAAACCATTTATTACTAACATTCTAAAATTTGTATACTATTTTATCGAAATAAACCTAAATTTAACCATCACAACATTATAAAGAAAAACCATTATGAAAAAATGGATAATCAATAGAGATTTGCATTTAGAAATGAAAAATTAAACCGTGAGCGTTAAGTGAGCGTTAGATGACAGCAAAGGTAATCTAAATGTGAAAATAGGGGAAATGAGCATGCACAATTAAATTAAATTAAATTAAATATTAAATGAACTGGCCAGTATTGGCCATTACATGTATTGGACATTAATTTTACGGTAGTATACCATTTTTGGAAGTGGAAAAAGACCGTATAATTTAGTGAATAAAACCGTAAAACCTAAAACATTGCTACTGTATTTTTTACAGTAAAATTCCGGCAACCACAGCTGACATTTTTTTACCATAAATTTTACGGAATTGTTTTTACAGTGGCACACGCTCAGAAAAAAATGTACAAAGCTGTGGGATGGTACCCTAAGGTACATCTTTGTACCTTTTTTACCCCTAAATTGTACACATTAGTACCTAAAGAATACATATTAGTAGTTTTTGAAAGTATACCACCCCAGTGACAGTTTTGTACCATTTTTTCCTGAGAGTGCATTCACATTCGACTCCAAAGCCAAATGCCACTGAGAGGCACTGCAAGATGTAAAAATCCCCAAAATGCCTCATTTGAGCTTCTTTTATCACCAAAAACAGAATACAGAGAAAATATGTTCTTATCTGCAACACAATATCTCATAACAGCACCAGGCAGCCAATCAAACATCACTTTTATCTACATTCCTTTGGTCAACCAGATATAAGCCCAGACCTGAAATCCATCTCCCTGAAACAATATGTTTTTCCCTCAGAGAGATTCCGGCTAAAGACAAACAACAGATGAGTCATGCGCACACTTGTCTCTCCATCCACCCACAGAAATATGGCACCCCTGTATTTCTCTGAGGATTCTACGAAGAGCAGGTGAAAAGGAGGCAGACATAGTGAGAAATGTGTTTGAGGAAATGGAGCAGAGAGCTATGAATAATGTGCGTGGAGGGGTGTGTGTCTGCAATGTCATACTCCATCAGAGTGTAGCCAGCTCATCGTGAGTCAAATCTCTGTGAGGTATACTGATGATATGTCATATAAAGAAAGGTTTATGCTTCATCAAAACAGCCTTCTTTTTTTTTTTAAGATCTTGTCATCTTTCAGCAACGAATTGATAAGGTTTCATGCTGTTTTGATTAGAAAATCTCTCGTACAATAGCAAGAGGCTGTCAGAAACATCTTGGTGAGGTGTGAACACTCGGCATACCAAAACCAAAAGAAGAAAAGAGCTCCATGTAAGAATTGCCTGAAATTTTTAGGTCAACTGACTTAACATTAAAAGCCTCTGCATAGCAAAGGTGAATTTACAAGGTGCTGGGCTGGATTATTGCAGAAGAACATGTAAGCTTACAATATTTTTGACCCAGTAAAGATGTTAAGATTTTATTTTATTTTATTCTATGTCTATTTTACATATTCAAGCATACTGAACCACAGTATCTGTGTCAGTTGAATTGTTCAGTATCAACAATATAATTAATAAACAGCCTTATCTGAACCTCAGATATTGCTATGATGTGTAAAGGTTTGCTTTATTGTGCTCAAAAATTGCTTGCACAAACAAACACCTTACTGCCCCCAAATATTAAGATTGACATTTGTTTCTCCATCTCAGTAATTACATGTATAAGGATTTCAGAGTTTTCAGAGTTCATTTTCTTAATGGTTCACACATCTACAGATCTGTGAAAAAGTATTTGCCCCATGATATTCTTTATTATTGCCTCTTTTTGAAAATTAAATCTGAGTCTCTTCTCTATTTCGAATCAAACACAATGAAATGCTTTATAAACCTTTCCAGATTGATAACCTTTTACAGATATGAAAAGGACAGTGCAAAGGCTGATTAAAGTTGCTTGTCACAAAAATAATTATTTGACATAATAGTCAATATTTTGTTTTGTCAAAAGCTGTATATGAATATATAAAATTAAGCCAGTATATTTTATGCAAATGTGTTGGTTACCAATGATCAATGTTATCAATAATGGTCAGACTGTGGGGAAAACTGCTGCTAAAAATATTGGAGTGGGCAATCTGACCTGGGGCAAGGCTCATAAAAGAGCAAAAAAGGAAGAGAGACAAAAGGATACATATGCTTTTAAAGTGTGACCCTAAGTGCCCTGACTTCCTCCACATATCTTATTGATACAGATACAGACACGGACAGTGATACAGTGAAGGCTTATTTAAACGTACTACAGTGATCAAAGACTGCTTCGCTTTTCAGCTCTTTGGCACATACACAAACAACATACGAATAACTTCAGTCTAGCAGGAAAAAGAAAATCTTATTTCCAAAAACAATTCAACCTTCTAAGAGCCTTCTTATAATTACTGTCATTTATATTGATTTATTACATAAACGGTGGATTTAACACAGTTTGCCATGCTAGCTCATTGATTAATGAGCTTATGATTGTATTCTGTTATTTTCAAAAGCATTATTGTACACTGACATACATGTGTACTGCATTT